AATGGTCATTTGAGATCAGAGCTGGCCGCCAAACGTGACGAACTACGTGAAATTGACGAGGAAATCAGAGACCACCACAGTGCCGTCGTGGACTCAGGTTTTCTGTTTATTGTGATATCTGTGCTCATGGCTCACCAAGCCATTTCCCATCCCTCTGGAGTCGGTAAATTAGTACCAGACCGGTCTCGGACTTGTCTGGGAGGATAAGCAGCACTGACTCGGTTCAGCGGGAGGCCACTAAGAGTCATTGTAAAGGCCAGATATACATTCAATCACCTCAAACTAAGTTAAAAAATGAAGACGAATGCAGGGCACATCCCTCAGGGATTGATCAACGCCGAGAGCTTTATCCTTTATCCCTTTGTTGACTATATCTTCAATTTCACATAGCAGAATTACCTCAGTGTCAATCCCTTATAATTTGAGCAGGAGAAAATAGATATCTAACTCGCCTCTTTCAAATTTTTCGCATCGTTTTTCGACACTGTGAGTAGCTTGATGATTGTTGTATTATATTGATTTGGAGAAGAAAAAAAAAAGATCTGAAATAACCCAAACTTGAACCTATTTGCTGAGAGATCTATTGTTCAAAATTAACTTCTATATCAGGGGAGCACGTGCCGCAGTGGTTAGAGGTGCTCTGCGTCGCACACGAGGTCAATGGTTCGATGTCGCGCTCACGGCTCACGAAGCCGTCCATCCCTCCGGAGTCGGTGAAATGGTATCAGACACTGACCTCAGACTTGTCTTGGAGGACAAGCAGCGCTGACTCGATACGGCGGCAGGCCACCGCGAGTCATTGTAAGGGCCAGATATGCATTCAGTTACCTCAAACGAACTTACAAACTGAAGACGAATGAATGGCGCATTCTTCAGGAATTGACAAACACCGAGAACTTTGTTCTTTATCCTTTTTCAACTTCTATGTTGCGAAATGCCACGTGTGCTCAATGGAATACATGATTTGTTTGAAAAGACACCTTCGTATTGTGAGCTTACGACGTTTCAACTTTTGTCCACTTATCCGGTGCTCTGTAGATTCTTTCCTTTTCAACAACAAAAACATTAACAGATGATCTGATATTTTGATCACCTGTGTCACCTGCCGTCCCGTTGATCGTCGAGTGACTCGAGCGGGTACCAGCAACTCTTCCAATTTTCCCTATCGCGTGCGAGAGTAGCTCAGTGGGTCCTCCTCGCTCTAGGGATTCGCTGAGCATCATATCTTTTTCTATCGCTTTCGTGAAGAAATCGGACCAACGGGTCAGTGGTCTTCCTAAAGAGCGCTTGACGTCCCGAGGAATCCAGTCGGTAACGGCTGTCGTCCATCGGTTGTCGTTGAAGCGCATCACGTGTCTGGCCTACCTTTTTTCGATGTCCTGGCGTGTAGAACGGCGTCTCTGACTTTCGATCGTTGACGTAGGTCGGAACTTCGGATCCTTTCTCTCACTTGCGAGATACGGGATACTCCTAGCATCGACCTTTCGACTGCACGTTCGATAACGCCAAGTGATCTTTCATCCTGCTTACGTAGCGACCAGGTTTCTGCTGCATACGTTAGGGCGGGATAATTGTCGAGTCGAAAAGGTGGGCACGGAGTCGGATGTTCTTTGTCCTCTTAACTACATCTTCGACGCTCTTAAACGTTCCCCAAGCCGCTCGTTTCCTCTTGCTCAACCCTGGAGCTAGGTCGTTCATCATGTTGATTTCACGAGCTAGATAGACATAACTGGAGCATTCGGAGATTGTCGCTTCCATTGAGCGTGAATGGGGCATTCAAAACCCATCCGTTCCTCATGAACATCGTTTTGGTTAGATTCAGTTGAAGACCAATCTTTCCACAGGCGTTATCGAAATCGCTCAACATTCGTTCCGCTTGACTGATGCTTGGTGTTATGAGAACGATATCGTCAGCAAAGCGAAGATGGTTTAATTGTCGACTTGTCAATTTTCACTCCCATTTCGTCCCATTCTAATGTTCGCATGACGTTTTGTAGGGTGGCAGTGAATAGTTTTGGCGAAATTGTATCGCCTTGTCGAACCCCTCTTCTTACATCAATGGTGATATTGTTGTAGAATGGAGATATTTTGGTCGTGAAATCTTTATGAAGCTCACGAAGGATCATTATGTACCGAATAGGGACGGCCTGGTTATCCAGAGCCTCTATAACCGCTTCTGTTTCCACTGAATCGAAGGCTTTCTTCAGATCGATGAAAGTGAGACAGAGTGGTTGCTTGTGATATTTTAAAGTTTTAAGTAAGTGGATATTTTGATATGCTTGTAAAATAAATTATTCTACGCAAATATTTCGAGAAGTTTTATAATTTTTTTTACGATTTTAGTTACGAAATTCCTGAAAAATATGTCGATGACGATGACAATAAATTATTATCCCAGTTGTTGATTTTCAAGAATGTTTAAAGCCCTACCCGAGGTTGGTGGGCAAGGGTCATACACCTGGGTTTCGGCGGTCTCGCCCTCCTCATCAATGACCCACGCCCCACATTAAGCCCTGCATTGTAGCAAGGAAAGAGGCGTACGTGGTGACGGCCCAGTGTACAATGACACTGTGCCATCATCACTTCTCAGTCGATGAATCCCGGCTAGGAGAACAGAAATTAATCCATGCAAGGATTCATGATCCAAATTAATCAAGGAGGGAGGCGTATGGGTCACGGCACAGTGTACAAGGAACTGTGCCATCATAACGTTCTTGAAATCTAGACTGAATTTTTATTGCGAGGTTTTTAGAAACGATCGATTCCATGGATCAATTTTGTTTTACCAGCCGAGATCCATCAACTGAGAAGTGATGGTGGCAGTGTCGTTGTACACTGTGCCGTCACCACATACGCCTCCCTCCTTGCTACAATGCAAAGCTTAATTTGGGGCGCGGGTCGTTGAGAGGAGGGCGAGACCTCCGAAACACCCGTGTGTGACCCTGGCGCACCATCCTCGGGTCAAGCTTTAAACATTCTTAAAAATTAGATTGAATGTTTATTGCGAGGTTTCAAAAACACTCGATGCCATGGACCAGTTGTTAATTTTTGTAATTTATACCACTTATTGTGTTTAACTTCCATCGATCTAGAATAAGCCTTTGATTCAGTGAAAACAAAAGCGGTTGCAGAGGCTCTGGATAACCAGGGCGTCCCTACTCGGTACATAATAATCTTTTATGAGCTGTAGAAAGACTTCGTGACCAAAAAATCTTCCATTCTACAAGAATATCACCATCGGCGTAAGAAGAGGGGTTCGCCAAGGCGATACAATCTTGCCAAAATCATTCACTGCCTCCCTACAAAACGTAATGCGAACATTAGAATGGGACGATATGGGAGTGAAAACTGACTGTCGAAATCAAACCATCTTCGCTTTGTTGATGATATTGTCCTCATAACACCAAACATCAGCCAAGCGGAACGAATGTTGACCGATTTCGATAGCGCTTGTGGAAAGATTGGTCTTCAAATAAATCTAACGAAAACGATGTTCATGAGGAACGGATAGGTTTTGAATGCCCCATTGACGCTCGACGAAACGAAAATCTCCGAATGCCCCAGTTATGTCTATCTAGGTCGTGAAATCAACATGATTGACCATTCAGCTCCAGAGTTGAGCAGGAGGGAACGAGCGACTTGGGGAACGTTTAAGAGCATCGAAGCTGTAGTGGAGAAGACAAAGATCCGCCCGTGCCCACCTTTTCAACTCGACGATTATCACTGCCTTAACGTATGCAGCAGAAACCTGGTCGCTACGTGAGCAGGATGAAAGATCACTTGGCGTTATTGAACCTGCAATCGAAAGGTCGATGCTAGGAGTATCCGTATCTCGCAAATGAGAGAAAGGATCCAAAGTTACGACCTTCGTCAAAGATCGAAGATCAAAGATACCGTTCTACACGCCGGGATATCAAAAATGAGTTAAGCCGGAGCACGTGATGCGCTTCAACGACAACTGATAGACGAGAGCCGTTACCGACTGAATTCCTCATCAAGCGCTCTACTGGAAGACCACCTACTTACAATGGTCCTATTTCTTCACGAAAGGTGTAAAAGAAAGATATGACGCTCAGCGAATCCTAAAGCGAGGATGACCCACTGGGCTACTCTTGCACTTGATAGGGAAAAATGGAAGTGTTGCTGGTACCTGGTCGAGTCATTCGATAATCAACGGTACGACAGGTGATACAAGTGATTGTTGAAACTAGTGTAGATGTTAGCTCTTTATTGATAAGTCTCAACACTCATCGGTTTAAAAATTATAACACTAGGAATTCACTCTATTTGCTTTACCCCAGCCAACTTGGTTAGCCCTTTCGGGCATTGGACCCACGGCCAGTGAATCTCCAGCTGGCAACTCTCGACGGTCTGCTTCACTTCCTCTACCTCTCAAACACACGAAGTGGCTAAAAGCGATTGAATTTGAAGAATCTTTGTTTGAGCAGAGTTGTTTCTTCTTCAACCGCTGTTAGCCGCAGTGTGATGTCATAATATACTCAATGATGTACAATGATGTGCAGAACTGTTGTATCAGGCGTGATTCGGACCCGTATTTTCACTCTATCCGGTGGCGCGTGCTCTGACCCGTTACACTACCGACGCCAGTTTGCCAACACTTTTTCTACACTACAGTCGCACCTATTTGTCAGCAACCATCCGCCAACGGTTTGGCGCAGGTATTCGAAGTCGACATTCAACGCAGTTACGCTGACAGATACTGAGTATGAGATGAATCTTTTTTATTAGATGTATGTTCTCCGATCAACAGCTAACAAGAGAACAATTGAGAAGTTCTTCGAAAACAGGTGAAGTGAATTTCGATGCACGGAAAAAATTTCCTACCCCACATTGTTTTGTACTAAAAGGATATCCAAATGCACGTAAAAAATTCAAAAGTCATTTGACATCAGGGCTAATTTATAACGTTGCCATCTGAATGTCATAATGTCTCAGTACATCCTATATACCTAAGAGAGTTGAGTGGTGAGCAAAAACACGACCTCAGGCGGGTGTCGAACTCGCGTTTCATCCATACCAGAGACGCGTGCTACTACTACACCACCAAGACATATTAGCATCACCACTCATTCTTCAATATCTCTATGGTAGCTACTTGTTGAAGGTTGGTGGCTGATAGCTATAAAAGAGAGATTTTGAAGAATGAGTGGGGGCTCAAATATGCCTCGGTGGTGTAATGGTAGCACGCTTCCTCGGTATAGATGAAACCCGAGTCCGACTCCCGTCTGAGGTTGTGTTCTTGCTCACCACTCAGTTCTCTTAAGTATATATGAAACATCATAACACTGCGAAAAAGCAGTAAAAACATTAGAATTTTCCGGTATTACATCTTTTCTTCTTTTTGTTCTATTCTAGCAGAATCTTTCCAAGCAGTCGCTCAGGTTTCTTCTCAGTAACAATCCACTTTTCTGTCTACGCTATTTTGCCAGCTGAATGTTCTGCTTTGTGCGAGATTGGTTATCGAAGTTGAAGATGAATGAACATTCACTCCTTTTGATTTTTTTTGCCACTCGAATATATCGTCATTGTTTTATGAGATGCGTATTGATCAGGTGAAGCTATGTAAGACAAATATTTGGAGTTCACTTGGAGTAAACCTTGCATAGGCACCGAACGTTTCTTGTCCCTTCACAAACACAATCGTTTAAGATATTTTGAACCAAATGTCCTACATTTATCAATCATTCTTATGAGGAGACGCTTGCAAACCACAGTAGCACTGATGTGAATTTAACCTTAAATTGTATCCAATCAACACTCGAAAAATCTTCATTTCAAATTCCATAAGATAGCTAGATGTAGACAAGATCGAAAGAGCTGATAAGACAAGAGAAGCCTCGATACTGCACAGCGGTTTGCATGCTCCCCTGGAGAGTGAGACGCAGGTTCAACTCACCCACGTGGCTCAACATTTTGCATATGACTTATCATGCTCGATATATAATTATAGGATCATAAGACAGTCATATGAGCGCACGCGACACAGCGGTTAGAGGTGCACTGCATCGCACACATGGTCGATGGTTCGATCCGGTGCTCATGACACACGAAGTCATCCATTCCTCCGGGATCGGCAAATTGGTTCCGGATTGGTCCCAGACTTGTCTTGGAGGATGTGCAGCACTGACTCAATACACCGGGAGGTTACCGCGAGTATTGTAATGGTCAGATATACATTCAACCACCTCAAATTGAAGACGAATGCTTGGCGCATCCTTCAAGGATTGATCTGCGCCGCATGCTTTGTCCTCCTTAAGACAGCTATTAGTGCTGCAAATTGAAAAAAAAAACTCCTCCAGATTATATCTGTAGATATTGCGCAGTAGGATCTGACTCCTTTTTGGTCTTAGCGATATGTTTCAATGTGAATATTTTTTTCATACGACCCGTCATCACAATTTATATTGTGCGGATACCATTTGTTCTGCTTAACTATGGTATTCGATAAGGCGTTCTTGCTGACTGCCGGAAAGTGTTGGGGAGTGGAGCTCGGCTCCACGCGCGCGCCGCGACGAGTATCATAACCATTCGGCCACGTCCACCCATGTGAATAATATGAATATAAATTTTAGGATTTGAAATATGAATGTCCTGTGTATATTGGCGATCATGGGAAACACCCCTAACACAAGTGTTCCACTAAGTTATACGTGCCAGGCTGCTGTTGTGATCATTATGATTTGTGTCTATGTGCACGAGCCCGTGTGATTTCTGCCCACCTGAACAACTAAGTAGAGAGCTTATGAAAGCGGTGGCTATTTTAAAGGATGATTTTGTAGTTGATAGTATTTTCAATGCATTTTTAGCACTGTTATGACGTTTCTAATATTCCTAAGAGAATTTATGGTGAGCAAAAACACGACCTCAGCCGGGAATCGAACCCACGTTTCATCCTATCCGGGGACGCGTGCTCTGCCACTACACCACTGAGGCACATTTGTCCGACCACTCATTCTTCAACATCTCAATGTTAGCTATCAGCCACCAACCTTTGACAGGTTTGGTCGGGTATGCGATTTCGCTTTATAAACCCAGTTGAGCTGACAGCTATTCTAATTACTAGTACTCGAAGTTGATAGTATTTTCAATGCATTTTTTGCGCTGTTATGATGTTTCTAATATTTCTAAGAGAATTGAGTGGTGACCAAACCTGTCAAAGGTTGGTGGCTGATAGCTAACATTGAGATGTTGAAGAATGAGTGGTCGGGCAAATGTGCCTCAGTGTTGTAGTGGTAGAGCACGCGCCCCCGGATAGGATGAAACGTGGGTTCGATTCCCGCCTGAGGTCGTGTTTTTGCTCACCACTCAATTCTCTTAGGTTGATTTTGTGTTTGATGCGATTGAAAACTAAGTGTGGCAACTTCTAATGTAGTAAGAAAGTGCTTGCTTGACGACTGGTTTGTGAACCATTTGATGTTTCCAGGTTCTGAAGAAGGCGAAGCCGTTGAAACGTCAGCTCTTACGCTAAATTAGGTTATAAAACCTCGTGATTGCTTTGAGAAAGTAAGGAGTTACCATAATTAGTCTCACTGATAATTTCTGCAATAAAATTTGAATGTTTAATGTTCATTAATCAAAACGAACAGAGCATCATTTTTGATGAGCATATTTTTCAGAAATACCTTGATTCATTTTTAGGGCGATGGCAAATGTTCTATAAAGAAAAAAATATGAGGCATACTGAAATTTCAGCCTGGACCTTAGAAAACAGTCAGAATTCTTTTTTTTTTTGACTGCCACTTGCAGTGGTATGATGTTATAGTATACCCAATAATGTGGAGTGCTGTGCAATAACATTTGCGTCAACCCAGATTCGAACCCAGACCTCACTCTTTCCGGGAGCGTATGCTAACCGTTGCACCACCGGGAGAGAGTGAGATCTGGGTTCGAATCTCGGCTGACGCAAATGTTTTTTGCACAGCACTCTACATTATTGGGTATGACCTTAGGAGACACTCAAAACGATAGGTATGATAGTTCATAAATAGCAGCCAAGAGCAATCGAGTATTGAAAATTGCCCATCTTGTGAATTTTCACTTGACAGAGATTGTGTAAATTGTTTTCGTCGTCGACCTCCTTCTAGGGTGATGTAGGGGCCCCCGAGAGGATTGGCTAAAGACGAAGGGCTATGCCCAACAACGAGGCTGCAAGGCCGAACCCCGTGTATCGGACTGTACACGAGCCCATAGTAGACCACATGACATGCTGGCTCGAATAATAATTAGGTAATATCTTCAACTTGACGGCGCGTGTTCAGAGTACGTTTGCGATTCCTACATATAAGGGGGTTATCTCCCACAAGGGATTCGCTTCAGACGAAGGGTACTGCGTTACTGACGAGGCTGCTAAGTCCGAAACATGTGCATTGCACTGTGATAAGTGTCCATAGTAGACTACGTGCATGGTCTTAAAAAATAGTGCTCAGGAAAATGTCCTCATTCGAGCATTCCATTCAACGGCGATGAAGACCTAGTGAGCCTCGAGCGCTGCGGCATCGAACCACCGAACACGTGTGTGTCGCACAGCATCTCTAACCACTGAGCATTACGCTATTAGCTGAAGACGGACATGCACATGGTACTAAGGCATGTGGAGCAACAGCGAAACCATACAGCGCATAATCTCCAGTCGTCACTGGGAATCTCACAAGTCCCTTGCCACCATCGATCCCCCCACCCCCACCCCCATCCAGATCACAGCCTCGGAATTGCACAGCACCGAATCCTGACGAATATGGACAAGTCCCGGGTACTGAGGGCACATGGCCCACTCCCCCTTTCCCCCACCCCCACCTCCCAGGAAGAAATGCACCGGTCCCTCCAGCACAACACCGGGTGCACCGCCCTCACCCCCAAATCAACGAGGCGCCCCCTCGCCGACACACCCACTCTCAGCTGTAAGGAGCGGCCAGTAGTCCGCTACGCGACCGCTCCGCAGCGATACAACTCTCGGCCACATCATCGGCAACCGCCACAGCACTAGTGCTTCAATGCTGGGAGGGCTGGCCAAGCAGTTTGTTGTGCTATACGACGGAAGAGAGGCCAAGAAAAGCTTGGCAAGTTGCCGACGATCGATCGGCGGCGATTTTACCGTTCGTTATCGTCCGTTCAACTCGGATTTGCTAGGTGTTCGAGGATTCTTGGAATCGAATTGTTATGCCAATTTATTCATCACTGTTTTCGAGAGCTCTCGTAAAATTCACGTTTGGTACGGCGATCATTTTTCCTGCGTTTTTTTCTATCGGGCTTTTTAAAAAATTCGAAATAAATCACGAGGACCGAAATTATGTTTCCTTTCTTCCGTTTCGAGTGTTTTTCTTAAGTCCACAGCTCAAATTTTGGTATGCCTGGTAATTATTTTTTGAGCCATGCATGTCAGTGGTCTGTCAAGGAGAGCTGACTTATAAGCCCGATACACGTGTTTCGATCTTGCGATCTCGTCAGTCGGGCAGTTACCCTTTCTCGTCTTTTGCCAATCCTGTTTGGGCGCTCAGAGCCAGGAAAAGTCAGCCCTTTTTGATAGACCACTGACATGCGTGGCCTCAAAAAATGATTGCCACGCATATTGAAATTTGAGCAGTGATCTTAAGAAAACACTCGAAACGAAAGACTGTGATATATTGAATATACTAGCCAAGAGCAATCGAGTGTACAATGCTCTGTGTTCGGTGATAATTTCACTGGACATAGAGTGTAAAACGTTCGTCGTCGCTAACTCTTATGTGTGGGGACTGGAGCACCCACACAGGATTGGCAAAAGACGAGAGAGGGTAACTGCCCGACTGACAAGATCGCAAGATCGAAACACGTGTATCGGACTCTATAAGTCAGCCCTCATTGATAGACCACTGACATGCGTGGCTCAAATAATGATTATCAGGCATATGTTTCCTTTATCGTATCGCATGTTTCCTTTACAAAGCAAAGTGTCGTTTTCCACTCATTAAAATTCTCGCCGGAATTCTTCTTCTCTTCACAGCCACGATGACATTGCATTCACGAAGATCTCGCATCGATAGAAGCGGCATACGGCTTTTTTACTAGCTCTGA